GTTGCTTGCTATGAAACAATACTCAACATTTTGAAGCAATTACAATAATTATTGCCATATCATATAGGATATAAAACAATAAACATTTACAACTGTTATGTAACAATATAGTAATTAACATTTTTAAAATTGTACAACCAAACGAACATTGATAAAAAGGTAAACACTTATTAATAAAATAAACATGTATCAATAAAATGACAAGTATACAACCTACATACAAGAGTAAAAAATATTTTTAAATTTATATGATTATAAATTCATGTTAAACATAGCCTATTTTTTATAGTTAAAATCATCTTTAAAAGATTTAGTCAAACTTATATATAACAACTATATTAAGACATACAAAAATATACTCAAGTCAACAATACAACAAACTAAAAAATGAATAAAGTACACTATTTACAAATGTTTCAAATATTCAAATGTGCCATCATATAAATTACCACATTACCAAGGGCCAAATTACTCATTCAAATCAGAGAACATTTTTTTTTAATTTTTTTTTTTAACTTAATTTAATGAGATAACAAAAATGAAGTACAGTGGTCAGCAGAGACACAGCACTGCAACACCGCCGTCTAATCAACGTCAATAGGCAGAACACAAATCTTGGTTACAGACCTGGTATATATCCCAGTTTTTATATTCACTACTCTTACTAAACCATCTTTACCTTTTATTATTGAGATTATTCTGCCTAAAGGCCAGTGTAAAGTGGGAACATTTAATTCCTTTATTAAAACTAACATACCGATGTTTAAATTTGGATGTTTCTTATACCACTTTGGTCTATTCTATAACAGGTTTAAATAATCTCTATGCCGCTTGTCCCAGAAGTGCTGAGTAATTTGAGTACACAGTTTCCAAAATTTAAGTCGATTTTGCGGAATAGTGATACAACTGGGTTCCGGATAGGCTGTAAGAGGTGCACCCACTAAAAAGTGTCCTGGGGATAAGTAATCTAAGTTTTCGGGATCACTACACAACTGGGTAAGGGGACGAGAGTTTAATATTCCTTCTATCTGAACAATAATTGTGTTTAGCTGTTCGTAGGCTAGCAAAGTGTCACCAATAGTTCTTTTAAGATGACTCTTTGTGCTTTTGACACCTGCCTCCCATAAACCACCAAACACTGGAGAATACGCTGGTGTAAAAGTATACTCAATTCCCTGATTTGAGGAATAATCGATTATCTTTGTTTTTTTGTCTTTGTTAAATTTATCAAGTAATTTTTTAAGCTCATTTTTGGCACCAATAAAGGTTCCTCCGTTATCACAATAAATTCTTGAAGGCTTAGATCGTCTAGAAATAAACCTTTTTAACGCGGCCAAAAAACAATCAACTGTCATGTCTGACAAGAGTTCCAGATGAATCGCTTTAATAGAAAAACAAACAAAGACTAAAATGTAAAACTTTGTGATGACTGCTTTTCTTAAATGTGTATGTTTTAATTTGAATGGTCCACAAAAATCAATTCCAGTTATGTCAAAAATTGTTCTTTTGGATGTGACTCTGTCCTCAGGTAGAGAGCCCATTAGTTGTTCTGAGCATTTTGCTTTTAATCTGGCACATGTAACACATCGGAAAATATTTTTTTTACTTCTTGATTGCCATTAATTAACCAGAATTTCAAATTTAAACTACCCAAAACATGTTTTTGACCAGCGTGTAATAATTTAATATGTAAATATAAGCTATAACGCGTTGTAACTTAGTAATTGATGAGTATCTCAATAAGATTGGGTTATATTCATGAATTGTGGAATTTAAAACTATTCTTTGTTCCGGTAAGGATTCAGTGGGTTTCTCATCAAAAATCGCATGCTTAAATGTCAAATTTGATAAAAAATTTGGACCATGAAACCATAACTTATTGTCAATTAAATCATTAACAGTTATTCCTCTAGATATAATATCAGCAGGATTTTCGTTTGTATTGATGTAGGACCATGACACTATATTTGAGATTTCTTGAATTACTTTTACCCTGTTGGTAACGTAAGAGTTTAGCTTTGTAATGTCGTTGTTTAGCCAATGCAAAACTACTTTAGAATCAGAGTACAAATAAATTTTGTTAGTTTCAATTGGTAAAATAGTGTTAATTTTTGAAATTAATTTTGTCAACAATAAAGCAGCATTTAGTTCCAGCCGGGGTGTGCTTAGTTTGGGATTAATGGGAGCTATTCTTGATTTTGGGCATAGAATGTTGCAATAAATGTTATTTTCAGATATTACTCTTACATAAACTACTGCTCCATAGCAGTAATTAGAGCTATCATAAAACCCCACTAGCTCATACTGCTTAGTATTATTAACGTTAATAAATCTAGGAATAAAAATTGGTTTCATATTAGACAAAGAAGTTGCGAATTGCTTCCAATCATCCAAAACATCACCTGTGACAGCATCATCCCAGCCAAGATCTTTTTGCAACCATAGCTTTTGTAATATTACTTTTGCAGCAATGATTAAACAACCTAAGAGACCCAATGGATCAAAAAATTTGGAGATGTTACTTAAAATTTGTCGTTTAGTTATAATTGTAGTTGTATCAATGTTTGGAAATGACATGGTGAAACTATCAGTTTTAACATCATATTTTAAACCCAATGTTTTTAAAATGAGATTTTTATCTAAATTTAATTCGTCAAAATAATGTTTGGAGTGAGGAATGTCTTTTTTCTACAGTGTCAGCACCACCTAAACAATCATCAACATAAGTGTTATTTAAGAGACATTCAGCAGCCAATGGATGTTTTTTGTTGAAGATGTTAGCTAATTCAACTAAACAACGAGTTGCCAAAAAGGTTGATGCCTTCTGACCATAGGTAACTGTTTGCAATTGTAAAATTTGAATGGGTTTAGATGAATCTGTACGCCATAAAATATTTTGCAAGGCTCTATCTGAAGGATCGACTAAAATAAAATGGAACATATGAGTTATATCGCAACCCAAGACATATTTAAAAGTTCTGAATCGAATTAAAATATCAAACAAGTCATTCTGAACAGTAACACCATTATATAAAAAATAATTTAATGAAACTTTTCTTGATGTAAGTATCAAATACTACTCTACATTTTGTTGATCTTTTTTCATTGCGTATTACAGGGTGATGGGCCAAAAAATAGACACAATCATTTTTCAAATCATAATCATTGATGCTTATAACTTTTGCATGACCTAAGGAAATATATTCTTCAATGAAGTTATTGCATTGCTGAAATAATTAAGGATCTGATGTAAAACGCTTTTCCAGATTTTCAAATCGTTTTAATGCTAAATTATAAGATTCGCCTAATGTTGTCTTATCAATGTTTGGTTTTAAAGGTAGTTTAACTTGAAATTTACTATTAACAAATTTTGTGTTTGATTTAAATATTTCTTCGCAAGCCTGTTGCTCTGATGGGTATTCGGGAAAAATTTCAGGAACCTTTTCAGTGTCCCAAAACTTTGAGATAGCATTATCTAGATTGAAAGTTGATTGCTTCTTGGCTACATGGCATGGAACTAATTCTTTTGGTGTTGTAATTACAGATCCGCTTACTATATATCCAAATTGTAAATTTTGATAAAATAATTGATCCATTTTTATTGACTTAGATAGTATTATATTAAAGAATACATCTGCGTTAAATAGTAAGTCTATGGGAGACGGGGTATTAAAATTGGTATCAGCAAGAGTGATAGTAGAAGGAATATTAATTCTACTTGATTGAATTTTGTGTTGTGGTAGGTTGCAGGTTATTGTATTTACTACAGAACAAAATACTTTAATTGAAAAATTAGATGTGCATGATTCAACATTTAAATTAACTGCTTTATGAACTTTAACACTATTTTCTGAAATACTAGATATATTTAAATTGTGATTGATTAATTGCGAATTTAGTTTTTTAGCTAGATTGAAGGTACAAAAATTAGTTTGGCTGCCTGTGTCTAATAATGCGCGGGCATGTGTATTTATTAAAATTGTTTTTTATTTTTATTTTAATAATGGGTAATATCACTGTGCTAGAGTAAGATAAACAGTTTCCAACAACGCTATTTTGAGGTGGGTGAAGTAGTGTATGGTGATCCTTGCTTCTGCAAGTGAAACAACTTAGATTACTTTTGCATGGATTTGAGTGAAAATTCAAGCAAGTGGCACACAACTTATTTAAAGAGACAAAGTTATTTTCGTCTTCTTGTGATAATTTAATAAACTTACTGCATTTATTGACGTGATGACCAGCGATGCTACAGTATCTGCATTGTTTCGGCCTTCCTATTGCATTGATTGTTGCATGAAATGATGCTGAGGGTTTTTGTTTCTCATTGTTTGATGTGACTTCCAAAGCTGATGCTCGATTTTCAAGGAAGGTTAAAAATTCCTGTAGGCTTGGAAGGGTTTTTAAATCTCTGTCAAAATGAAAGGCTTTATTAGTATATGCGTCCAACTTTTTGGAGAATATACTTATTAGTAACATGCTCCAGTCTGAGGTTGGTTGATTAAGGTTTTTTAATGCACTTAAATGCTGTTTAATTTTTGAAATAAACTCTCTCAGAATGGGAGCAGTACTCCTGGTAATGTTGGGAATATCCAACAATGCAGAAATATGTGAGCCAATTATCATGAAATCATTGTTGTATCTTTCCCGCAATAAATTTAAAGCTTCCCCATAACTATCATTTACCAATGGTAAATTGTTTATCAAGGACAAGGCCTCGTTTTGTAAAAAAACTACGTAGGTAAAAAAGTTTTTCAACTGGTAAAATTTCAGAGTTTTTGTCAATGACAGCAGAAAAAATATCAAAAAAAGATTTGAATTCACTGAGATGTTTTCCATCAAAATTTGGTAATTTAATTGATGGCAATTTTGATAACGGCCTTAATTGATTGTTAACATTAGTAATTTGATTAGTATTAGTATTAGAGTTAGAGTTTGAAACGGTAAAATTTGAATTATCAGTATCCAACATATTAGAGATTTTTGCACAAAACAAAGTGTACTTATCTTCCATTTCCCCTATGTCTTCTGGGTCATCCTGGTCTAAGGCCAGAATCTCGCACTGGGCTTGGCGGTTATCTTCGAAGGCCTTGCGTACCATTTCCAGCTTCGCCGTCAGCTGCATTTTGGCTTCCCCGGTGAGCGGAAAGGTTACCTTCGCTAGGTTGTTTGAATTTCTTGTAAGCGTCGCCTTTGCCATCGTTCGTTTTGTTTTCAGTATCGCCTCCATTTTGTTACCGATGGGCACGTGGGTGTAAAGTATTTTCTGTGATTTTCTTCCTTTTAATAACTGGATCCAGTTCTAGAAGGACCAGTATTTTTGTTGCAAGTTTGGATGGTCCGGTATTTTGCAAAGGAGTTGAAATAAAATCCAAGAATTGTAAAGCACCTTCGGTTTATTGGCAGTCATTACATCAGGTATATTCAGTTTGCAGTGCGATAGATAAGTGATGAGTCGCGCGCGATTGTGGCGAACAAGTCATGTTTTAGTGGTGGGAGGCACACATGCGTGTTGATAACAATTGTTTTAGGATAAATTTCCTACAGGTTAAATATGTATTTAACAATTGGTCTATCGCCCTTTATTTCAGAAATAAAGGGTGATTCATCAATTTTGCTCATTTCTTTAATTGCTCATAACTTTTAAACAGCTTCGTATTTTTTTCTCAAAATTGATATACGGATTAAGGGTTGCCTACCTAATAAGTAGGTATACCAGGTCCGGCTTGGCCAAAATTTTCCAAATTCTGTGTACCCTCAAAACTCACCCTGTACATTAGAATTTTGATTTTTTTTTCTTCTCCAAATATATATAACTTATCTTTTGACAGAAAAGTTTATTTACAAAATTTTACGTGTGCAAGAACAAGTTTGAACAAAAAAAGAGTGCGAGGTGTAGAAATGATCTGTTTTTGTAACTTTACCTACTGCAGAATGAAAATTTCTTACTTTTAATGTATCTAGGTTCATATCTAATTAAATTCTTACTTTTCTATTTTACAGAAAATACGAATCCAAAAAGTATAGGGCCGTACTTTTCAAGTAAAAAATAAATAAATTTTTAAACATAGTTTAATAGGAACTTCAATATAGGTATTTTTCATTTAAAAACTAAATCAGAACACAAAAACTTATAACAATTGCTCAAAATGACCGCCGTTTTGTTCGATACATTTTCTTGCTCTTGGAGCAATTTGATTCACCGATTTTCGAAGAAAGCTTGGATTATTTTTTAGATTTTCGAAAGCATTTTCTATTCTGTTAATAAGATTTTAAATATCTCCAAACATGATAATCCACAGGGTTGAAGTCAGGCGATCGTGGAGGCCAGTTATTAGGACCACTCCTGCCTATCCAGCTAATTACTGAAATGGGGAGATGCCCCATCATGCTGGAAGTACATTCCAGCAACATCTACACCCGCATCAAACAAATGTTCTGAACAAAGTCTAAATAAATACCTCCAGTTAGTAGATTTGGGAAGATATGGGGCCCAATTAGTTTATTGTCAATAATTCCGGACCATACATTTACATTTGCGCTGGGAGTGAGCTTCTCGTGTAGCCCTTGGGTTTTTTCCTGCCCAGACATGCATGTTCCTTAAATTGTACACTCCGTCCCTCGTAAATTGCGCCTCATCCGTAAATAAACAATTTCTTAATATTCCTTGATTTCCAATTACCCATTTGCTAAAAGTCATTCTTCTCTCCCCATAACCATCCTCTAGCCTTTGAAACTGCTGTATATGGTACGAATGAAGTCTATGTTTTTTAGACGTCGCCAAACTGTGGCGTGTGGTACATTTGCGGATTGTTGGTAACCATGTTCAGGATATTATTTTCCTGATCGCCTTTCGTTGTGCTCATTTAATTTTACAGTGGGAAATGTCTTTGAATCCGGAGTTCTTCGATTGCGAAATCTCCTTCCATATTCTTAATTCGCCGCCCGTGCACTACCATTACAAAACCAGGATACACAAATAATATTGCATAATCTCGATGAGAATATTGGATCGGCATTTCATAATATTTTTTAATTTTATTTCCAAAAGTATTAATAATTAAATTTGTTTAACAGTTTCTATGCAAAAAAAAACAAATGAAGGGCAACAGTAGATAACAATTTAATTCCAGAGCCTACTGCAATTATTTATCAGCAACAATGACTATTCGCCATTCGGTGATATTTTTGCTGAACTACTAAGCAATAGGTATTATTATGTTTTTTTTCAAAAAAGTTTTGATTGTTAGGTATTAACCTTTTATGGGTGATTCTCAAAATAACTACACTTTCGGTTTATTAATTTAAATAAATTTAATACTAAAAAGTTTGGTAATATTATTACAAGAGCATTTTTGTTAAGCTTTAGTTAAATCCTAAACTAAAATAAGGTTGATATTGCATGCAAACCTTTTCTATTTATGGGTAAATTTGGAAAATCAATGTCCAGCGAAAAGACATATTTGTCCACGGATAGGACATTCCTTATAAAATAAAACAATACTTTGCAAAAATTAAACTTGATTATTAATAAATATAAACTACATCTTACTTAAACTCATGTAAACCTAATGTAATAACATCGTATACAAAACGTTGATTTTAATTAATCAGAGATTTAGAGTATCAGTTAATTTAGGTTTTTAGTAAATTTGGGAAACATAGCACAATTAATACGTATTGATCTATGATTAATTAGTTTAATCGTAGATTAATATACATTTAAAAGTGCTTTGTTGCCAACATTACTAAAATACCTAAGTTAACTACTATGCTAAATCTCTGATTTAATTAAATCAACGTTTGTACATACGACCATAAATCTTTATAAGCAGTTATGAATTATAAGTTTTAGAAGAATTTGGAATAAAATGATTAAAATTGATTTTTAAGAATCAGATGAATCCGAGGAATGGACATCTGAATATGCCACTTTTGTATGCTTAGGTAATACTGGGACTTTTCCGATTCCATAATGTGGACAATTATATTCTGGCAGACACGTCTTGCAAGTGAGCTTTCTTGCATGTATGATATTTGCTGTTATTCTAGACCAGCTTACTTGGTGGATCTTTATCGTGCCTTTAAAAGTTTGCGGATCACTTACCAAACTTTGAATGTCAGGAACTACCGAGTCAGTTATAGAAATAACTTTTATGCCTTTGCAGTTGGAGGTTAGCCATTGAATTAGTTCTTTGAAATTTGAGACGTCTTGTCCTTTAGCTACAATCAGCAGTTCTCTTTAAACACCCACCAACTCCATCGGGTGCTCCCTTTCCATGGCCGCTCTCAGTATAGTGCCAGGACATACACTCAACATTTAATTTTTGCGACAAATACTTAGCCATCAGTTGAAACATAGTTTTATTTCTATATTGCGTTGACGGACTATCACTGAGAAAGTGAATGCATTTAAGTTTGGGGACTATTTTAAGAATTTCGTCTAAGATTGGGTTTATATGAGCACATATCATAACAGGGTCGTGATTTAGATTCTCCTAACATGTACAAAAGGGTAGAGCTTTTACTTTATCTTCGGCTTCATTGAAATAATACAACACAGACGTATGCAATGATATTTGTGGTTTAGCTCCACCGAAATGTGCTGATTGTATTTCACTTCCATATTTGCAATTATAGTTTTCTGAGAAATCCATATGTTAAAGTGCGTCGTTCCTTGTAAGTTCGTTTTTAATTTGTTTTGTTGCTCTAAATTGATGAATCATGTTACAACAATGTTTCATAAAAACTGGGAGTGAACTGTTCCACAAATTCACCAAACTTTGTTTTGAGCATTGGGCTGTTTCTTTAATTATCTTCTTGCATGTCTTATTTTTTCCCTTTATCACAACTTCATACTTCTTCACAACCCATCTTTCTAATGTTGCCCTTTCGTTTTTATTATAATTATTATATTTAGATTTTTTTGTTTGCAGTCACACATACTCGCTCCAGACATTTTTCCTTAAACTGTCCATCACAACAGTTTTTTCTGATTACTTCTTCAGGAGTAGATTCGTTTATGATCCTATACTTTTTTAGAGCAATGACTATAAAACGTGCATTTTCGTGACTTTGACACAAACAAGTGTTTCTGGACTTTGTATTGGGCATAGTTACCCAAAAAGGCCTTAGTTTACAAAAGGTCGAATAGCTAACTTTCTTAAAGTTTTTATTTTCTGTCAAAATATTTTTATGTAAGTTAAACATACTATCGTTAAGGAGCCGAATTTGTTTTTTAATTTTCTTTTGAGTAACAGTTTCTTTCTTTCCAGCTATTTTCCAGCTATTTTCATCAAGCTCCAGAAAATTTAACACGGCTTCTTTGCATTTGAGTGCACGATCATATCTTTTATTGTTCTTTCTATGTGATCTTAACCCTATTTCATTAGAAAGGTACTTCTTAAACTTAAATCTCTCGATTTCATTGCCTGATATTAATTCTATCATTTCTTTTTTCTTTTTGCGACTTTTTTGTTTTTTTACATTTTCTCTAATTTGTTTAGGCAGTACCTCATTAAAGAGCAATATATTTTTACAATTTTGGTTACTCTTTATCCATTTAGTATGTTTTCAACGGCCTTAATAGGAGATGACTATTTTATGTTTTTCTTTTTAAGACGTAATACTTTCATTTCTAGTCGTTTGTTCTTTTTCTTCAGATCAGCAACTTTTTTCTCAAACTCCTGTATTTTTCTTTTTAGTTGCATTCGGTTCTTCATAGCTATTTTACTGCCAACATATTTTCTCTGAGCAGATAGGGAAACGTGATGAGCATCCGGAGTGACTGCTTTTGAGGGACCAGGATTCTCTGGGAGAGGACTAGCCGATGTAGTACTGTTGCAAATAAAATTTTCCAATTTTTCTTTTACCTTTTTTGAGGCCCGGTATTTTTTTTTATCTTCACGCCACACTTTTCTCTGAACTCTCGCTTGCATTGGAGTCATCTCTGACACAAGTTTAATACGTCCATCTTCTTTCTTCCTATAGTACCTTTCTCTGTCTTTACGTTTGGTTTCCTCATATTTAATAGGATCATTTTTCATTTGTTTACGAGCTTTTCTCATACTTTTTCTTTTCTGTTCTTTTCTTCGCATCTTTTTTTCTTCAGCACTTAAACTAGTTTTGGCCCTCGCCATATTTTACTAAAAATAAAGGAGAAATAGAGAGATGATTGGAAAACGGTATACCTTATTAAGGTGTTTTCCATTATTAACCTTGCTAAAAATGGACTACAAAAACCTTGGAAAAATAAAAATTTTATATTTTAAAATTTTTTCATACAAATAGTATTTTTTGAGTGCATAATTTAGTGATTAAATGCATAAGTCACTTATTCTAGGCATTATAATTAATTGTAATCCAAAATCACAATTAAATGACATTTTAGAAAGTCTTGCCACATGTTATTAGTCGCTAAATAATTATTATGAAATAATAATGATAATAATGGTAATAAATTAGAATTAATTAATTCAGTTTAAAAATACAGTCTTCCCTGTTTTTATTTTTTACCCTTTAATGCCTTTAGCTTAAACACAATTGTGTTAACAGTCTGACTATTGAACAATGTTATTTATCGTACTGGAGAAACAACAGAAATACTCGAATACGTTACTGGTAGTCCAGAAAACAACCAATTGCATATGCTGATGTGTACACGATTATTATTAAAAATTCCATAATAATATTAATAATTTGGTTATTTATGAAATTAAACTTCATTATTAAATTTATAATTAATTGGCCCTTTTTTGTCAGGCGTTAACTACACATTTACCCATCGGAATGCTTAAAAAATAACAAAATCCGGATATTTGTCGTACTAACCATTTTCAGTTGTAGTTATATGATTAATAAATTAATTAGTTGTTTTTATAAAAAAATGTGTCCCAAAAATATTATTATTATTATTATTCCCTGTTTGTATCTGCAACAGATTTTAGAAAAATTGATTTCTTGGCATTAAAAATTATTAATTTTTTTAGAAAATTGTCATATTTTGCATAATATAATATAAAAAGAATTTTAATTTCACACGGCGATTTTATTCCGTATGAGGGTGGGTGATTCATAACATTAATCGTTGTATTAACTCTAGAATACAAATGTGAGCGCTTTTAATAGCAATTCAGATTTTTTTTTTAAGATTTTGAAAAACAAAATTTTGAAATATAGAATTATCAAAATCGTGCATCAAAAAACTTTACTCTGCGGCGAGCGTGAATTATTGAAAATTTATATACATATTATCGAGTCAAATGTAGTCAAAACATTAACAAAGTTTAAAAAAAAAATTAAGTCGCTAACTTCAACGGTTGTAGAAATATGAATTTTTATCCAAGAGTCCTGAAATGCGCGCTAGATATGACTTAAGCGTTCAACTACCTATTAGGTTTAAAACCCCGTATAGCATACCGCCCCGATCACTGACGCGTCATGACAATCCTACACACCGTTTTTAAGGGTGACGCAGCATTGATGTTTTTTTGTAAAAATACGTGTATATTGAAGTTTGGCAGTTTGCCGCAAGGGTGCGCTTTTAAATTTGATGTATATTGGTGTACTTACGGTAATCCTGCATCAAGTGAAGCTGACAACAATGTACGACGCAGCAACGTCGATACAATGTACTTAATATTATTCGACGCATAAATAACGAAGATCGTCGCATGTGTTAATGTGAATTTTAGTATAAGTGTTTGGTAGCCAGTTTGTTTTATAAAATTATTATTGCCAAGTTTCTTTTAATAATTATATAAATAACTTTCAGAATAAAAAAGAGTAAAAATAGTAATATTTGTCCCGTTTGTAAGGCCTCCAGCCCAGGGATGGGAAAATGACGTAAGAATTGGGTTTATTACATTTTATACATTGACTATGTAGTAAATGTAGTATGTAGTAAATCACAGAACAAAGTAAATTATTGTGTAGTAAATGTAGTAGGTAAATTACGTGATTGGTATTTTGGTTAAAATCATGACTCTTAATGAGAATGTAAGATGATAAACACAATAACCTAACTTTTTACTCAAAAAAAAACGTGGTTTTGTGTTATTCTGTGAGCTGTCTTCTGAGTTTGACCTGTCAAACTTAGAAGTGGGCTGTGGGCTGTTGTAACTTTGATATAATTTTTGTTTTTGTCAAAAGAAATGACTAAATACTAATGAACTAATACAACAGGGTATTTGGTTTTCTCTGGGACGGTTCCAACTTTCTTATTTTTAATAAAAATATCCCTTTTATTTGCATTTTTGGATTCCAGAGACTTTTTGAGACATGATCTGTAAATATATTTTTCTAATCATATTAAAGAATTTGTACATTTTATATACTTTTTCAATAAAGAAAGTGGCTCAGTCTTAAACTGTGGAAAAAATTGAACTCTTTCTCCACGGTATACCGCGGTAGTATAATCCTACTAGGATTTATCATTACTATGACGATTACACGGTGGTTCATTATTTTCTTAAAAATTAATTGACACTGACTTTTGTAGAAACTTTCGGCACGCAGCTGCGCGCAGGTAAAAAAAAATAGATATAGCATATTTTTCTATATTTTTTTTCCAAAAAATATTCTAAATTAGCTAAAAACTTTTAATCTTTAAAATGCTCTGTAAAATTGTTAAATTAAAGATACGCTACCATACGATAATTGGGACGATATGTGATGACAGCAACAATAATAATAATTATATTATCCAAAGACGAAAGTAAACAGCTGATTACATTTCAGGACGGAAAGTAAACAGCTGTCCTGAATGTGACGTTTTCAAAATATTAAAAAGACATCATCCTTAGTTTTTTACATTCAATTTGGCCCTTTATATTTTAAAAAGGCAAAAAGTTTAAACAAATTTAAATTATAAATATTCGTTAAATTGATTAATATTGATAAAAAACTAAAATTGGAAAGTTTAAACCGTTTTGACTTATTCTAAGACATAGTTAAATAAAAATTTAACAATCCTTTAAAATAATCCCTTTTTTATTTAAGGTTTTGGTAAAAACGCCTTCTTAGATTAGGAGCACTTTTTTAATTACAATTTAAAAAAATGCTTTGGCCCGTCAATATTTTTATTTTATAAATTGTAATTAAAAAAGTGCTCCTAATCTAAGGAGGCGTATAAATACATATTATATTATACCAACATTAGAGCGGCAAATTTTATTACCCACCCCGACGGAGAAAACGTTAGAAACGGTCCTGCGAATATCTAAGGCTTATTTGGAAATATTAATTAATTTCTTAGCTAAATCTAATAAAATAGTTAATACCAAAAATATCAATAAGGAACCTTATTGTCTACAATTATCATAATTGTATTATGTTATGCTATCAAAAATTAAAAATGTCAGTGGCATACATTTTGTATGTTAATTTAACATATCAAAAATTAATCCCGTACGCTAGATTTTTTTCTGCACATCCTTAAATGCTAAAAAATTTAATTTATCCAGACTACCTTAAACTATTGAATGACAACAAATTATACATAACAAATTTATTGTTTAATTTCTAAAGAACTTATATTATGCGCTAAAAACAAGTCACAACGCACGACGAAATTATTGGGTATTATGATTTTAAATACTTATTTATTTTAATAAATTTAATATTCAAATCCTAGTACGAAAGATCATCAATGATGCGTACTACGCATTGCGTAGACAAGATCTGGCAACATAGGTGACGCAGAAAAGACGGGGGAGTTGAAAAAATATTTACTTCTGTTGCAGCAATGATGGTTTAACAAATTCGATATACTTTGACGCAGAAATGATGGCAAAATAAAAAGGAGCAGCAATGATAGTAACATGAATTTTTAGTTTAACGTTATGTATATTTTATATAATTATATATTAAATTCAATAAAGTTAATATTTCTTATTGGATTTTAAAGAACACAAATTATAACGTAGCTAAAAAATATAAAACAAAAGTGAGTCTTTTTTTGTTCATAAATTTTTTATTTTATTTCAGAATTTGTAAACATTAAGTTGGGTGCTTCTCCTTAGTATAAAATTGAAACTATCTGTATTTGTAGGTACTTTATTATTTATTATATTATATTATAGACCAGATAGAGCTAATATTATAATATTTATATAGCAGAACATATGTAATTTGTTTTTTTTAAATAGTCTATGTCTAGGTGATTATGCATTTTTTTACTGATTTTTTTTAACATTTTAGCAAATTCAGACCAATGAAGGCGAAAAATATAATATTGCACTCCAGTACGTGAGCGAATTGATGATCGCAAACAACTATGGGCAGAAAACAGCAAATCGACTGTTTTATCAAAAAAAAAAAGGAAATTATAAGTCTCCAAATTTAAGTGGAAATATTACAAGCAACAAAACGATAAAGAGGCTAAAATGGAGCACCAAGTAGCAGAGCGAGATCCACTTATTAACGATTTAAATCAGTAAAATGAAAACAGTTTAAAGAAAACGTAAATATTCATGCTTAATCATAATGGGTTCCGAGAAAATTTGTCTTTTTTTAGAATCGTCTTCTACTAGACAGGAGCCACCTCTTTTGTCATTGGAAGAAATACCAATGATTCGGTTGGATTCATATATGAAAATGACTATGTAAGTAGAAAACGCATGACCCTTAAAAATAAACAGCCAAAATTATATAAAATAAAAGTATATGACGCTTTCGTATTTTTTGGTGTTATTTAAATCTACACTTTTCAGAATTTTTATTTTCGTCGGATGTGTATTAATTTCTTATACTAAATTTAAAAAAATCGCATTTATCTTTTAATTTTCTAAATATACCTGCGTAACTTCAGGTGGTCAAACCTTGTAATAACAAAATAATGTCTTCTTACAAAAAACAATCCCACCTTAAACACTTTTTCTGGATGTTAACACATTTCTAAGACCTTACGGGGAAACCCTGTATACAAACAAATTATAAACAAATATATATTATACATATATTTATAATATATATTTGTTTATAATTTGTTTGTATACATATATGTACTGTGGATTTATTTCAAACAATATCGAATGCAGGTGAAAAATATTCGTAAAAGTCTACTTAAATAACATTGCATTTAGACGAATTTATATACCGTTCTACTGTATAGAATTACAGTTACGACCTCTATACTGTG